CTGGTCCGCTGCTCACCCTATGTGATCTGGGGTGGGGGTGTGACACCAACTATAACGAACAATGGGACGGCGATCACACCATGGATAATGACGCCCTAAATCATCATTTTCCACTGTCAACGCTTAATAGGATCATAACATCGATATCCCTTAGACTGATGACAATAACCTACAAAGATACAACGAATTGTTTTATTATCAAGCTATGACGAGTAAGAGATCTATCTTGAACAAAACATATGTGGCCAAAAATATGAGGGGGGACCGAAAAAAGTATCTGCTCAGGAAATAAGACCTGTAAGGAAGCCTTATACTGAAGAACACGATTCAGTGTACAATTGCACAAAAAAATAGAAGTCAAAATCGTAAAATGCCAATAAAATTTTGGTACCCCATACCTCTAAGCATACAAAGTACCATCCCTATTAGACTCCTATTTTTTTTTTTCACTAATTCCATTTTGCTCAAGAGTATATGAATAAGTGAGCTCCTGAAGGATACGCGGAGAAGTAAGGTGCGACATTAGGGCATCCGACACATATTATTTGACATTATCCTAACGAAGAGCACATACAATAACATCGAATTGTGTCTTAATTATCTGGAGAAACTGAGTGATGATAGGGAACACATCAAACTTCCTATGTAAAAGGTAGACCCAAGTGCAACGGGTATGGTCATCTATAAATGTTACATAATATCGAGCATCTAACAGACCAGTAACAAGAGATGGTCCTCAAATATCAGAGTGTATTAGGTCAAATGGCTTAGGTGACTGGTGCATGCGAGGAATATAACTGGTCCTAACATGTTTCGATAGGAAACATATAACACAGTCAAATTTACCACTAATACAAGCATTGCTTAAAGCAGAAAACAACATACATAAATATTTAAAATTTGTATGTACACAACGATGATGCCACAATTGAATAGTTTGTAAAGAAAAATCATAACAAGTATTTGTTAAAATACTAGCATGCAAGTTAGGAACAGATAAAGATAAAACGGGTGTAGGTGATAGAGGTGTAGGAACTGGTAAAACTGAGGGTAGATCGCTTAGATAGTACAGTCCATCTCTCTCATGCCCCCTGATAATAATCCTCCTAGTCTCAGGTCCTGTAAATAATACGAATCAGATAAGAACACAATTACACATCAAAAATCTCTGGCTAACTAATGTACAAATAATAAATTTATGGTTAGCTTTGGTGCATGAAAAATCAAATGTAATGTAAAGTCATCTGGGAGGCACAATGGGCATGTATTTCATCTGCTAACTGAACTTATGTATGTAATTTCTCGTCAAAAGTGGTGAAATGGTGCGCCTCCCCTGTCATATGACCATTCGCACCTGAGTCCAGCATCCAAAGGGTAGATGGACTGGCGTAAGCATGAAAGACACAAGGTATACCTGTAGTAGTCGTAGCAGTAGTAGTCAGACCCTGAAAAGTCAGGGCTAACATGAATATATCTAAGCGAAAAGTGATAACATCCATATCACTCTGCGCAGGAACAGTAATAGCAAGAGCAACGGCCATAGGTGATGGTACCTCATCAATGACAGTAATACAATTGCGAGGAGACAGTTTAAGCTTCGCATGGAACTTCCAGCAAGTAACCTCGAGATGTCCTAGTCAGCCACGATAATCACACTAACAAGAATCCCCGTCTGCGCTGATCTGGGGCACCCTTGACGTCGCTGCTAAGGGTCTTGAATGAGACCCTACAATAGTTACAAGGGATATCTGGTCAGCCTGAGGATTCAAGGTCGCAACTGAAAGTAATGCAATAAGGACACGTAGTGATGTCCAAGGGTCGGGTTACCCACGAGTCTCGTTACCCAGCCCAAAAAAATAAGTCTAAAATCCGATAGGACCGATAGTTGGCTCGCTCAAGCCTGAGCCTGAGTCCAATATCTTTTAAAAAAGGGATTGGGTTTACCCCTAAACTCACTACTTGACCCGAAACTTGAAGTCCGATCCAATAACCAGCCCACAAAAAATCGTTAAAACCTACCTGCCTAGCCCGAACAAATTTTTTTCAAAATTTATAAGGTTCTGTCAAATTTTGAGAGTTAGGTGAAAATCCTGTCAAATTTTTTTAAACTTTGCCAAATTATTTTTTATTACAAAATTTTTGAGTCGAATAAGAATAATGAAAGCATCGATGAGGGGGAAGGGGTTGATCCACTTTCAACGCCTGAGATAGCTTCTACTGGGGATGTACCATCTAATAAAAGACAAAAGTCTAAGGCTTGAGATCACTTTGAAAAAATTAAAATTAAGGATTCTAACGGGGTCATTACATCAAAAAATATCATATGTAATTAATTTAATTGCTTATTTTGATAATCTTAAAAGTAAAATTTGTTCGACTTCTGATATTTGGACTTCTTGCCAACAATTAGGATATTTGTGTAGAATTGTTTATTTTATTGATGATAATTGAATTATACAAAAAAGAATTATTATTTTTACAAGGATTGAAGATAATTATAGTGCACAAGTTATTTTTGAAATATAATCAGTTACAAATTTATCGTATTTAAGACAACATTTTTACTATTACTTTAGATAATGCAACAAATAATAGTGGGGTTGTAAATCATTTAACATGTTATTTAACTTTACCATGTGGAAGTACTTTTTTTTATATGAGATTTATGTGTCATGTCATAAATCTCATAGGATAAAGTGGTCTCCATGATATTAGATTTATAACTTATAAAATTAGACATTATTTAACATATAATAGGCCCAGTAAAGCCCGCCCAACAAGCCCAAAAAAGCCCGTCCAAACAGGCCCAAGAAGCCCGCCAACAAAGCCCGCCCAATAGGTGACGAGTTGGACTGTGGGTAGCTTACTCTTACTCGAAACTCGGACAGGCCTATCCAATAACTTGCCCGGGTAAGGATTTGGGCCTACACTACCCAAGCTCGACTTAAAAAAAACTCATGTGCTGGGCTGGATGGACAGGCCTACGAACACGGCACTCATGTTTGCTCAATCATCGCATACACCTCATAAAAGGGACGGAAGCCTCAGCATCGACAAGATTTGGGAATGAGGTCCCTCAAACTTATCATGAAGCCCCATAAGGAACTTGAGATTCCTATCCTCCTGTTTTCGAGTATGCTAGAATGCTACTTCCTCGGGCTTGATTTTTGGAATAGCAACAAAAGGTTGTTCTCATACTTAAGCCAGTGTTGAGTCAAATAGTCATAATAATCTTGAACCGTTATATCTCCTTGTTGAGTATATGAGAGCTCCTGAGAAAGCTCATAAACACGAATTCCTTGTTCTGACTGGGAATACATTTCTGATAATACACTTCATAGCTTTGGAATAGAATTATGAAACTAATGAATCTTGCAAACAGATGGCTTCATCGAGCCAAATAACCATCCAAGAATAGCACAGTTCTTAGAGAACTATGCAGAATATCCAGGGTCATCATTAGTCGGCTTTGGGTGAGATCCCGTTAGTCAACCAAGTATACTTGCACGGCCTAAGAAAATCTGGAGTGAGCGTGACCACTTAGTAAAGTTACAACCATTCAATAGTTGTGTTGTAACCTTCTGAGATATCGTACCTGGTATTGCCGGTAATGCAACTGTGCTAGTAGGTACTGTATATTGGTCAAATATAACAGTGGGAGAACTAGACAGTACATTTCAAATGAAAATACTAACAACAGGGGTCTCAACAGTAGAGGTCTCACTGGTGGGAGTCTCAAGTCCTTCAGTAGTAATCATATCAACAACAATACGTGAGCACCTGTGGCAGAAAAATACTCTAAGATAAATAGAGGGACAACATAAGGGATAATAATATACCTCCAGTTGAACAGTAGCGACAGATAAATAAGGTCCAAAAAGCTCTCAAATAATCAAGTCACGGTGTCCAGAAATTGAGTAAATATATAAGTGATCTACTGCATCAAGAGCAGATCAATGGAGAAGAGGATTCAACCCCTCTTAAAAATTCTTAATTGCTGTAACCCTAGGAAAAAGAAAACTGTGACGCGCAGAGATGACGACACTACGACGAAGAGCGCAAAGCACGAAGGCGGGCAGTTGGGTCGCTAGGTCAATTTCGGTACTGGGTTGGGCAGTCGCTATTGTGTTATCGGTGGAGTGAGCTGTTGGTTTATTGGGTTGACTTGGTTTGGTTATTGGGTTAATTTCGCTGTGGCTGAGTTGCTGGGTTGGCTGGGCAGTGGGGCAGGGGTTCATTGGCAGCTGTCGGTGGAGTGGGAGTTGCTGGGTTGGTTGGTTTTGCTGAGTTATGTCGTCGGCTGAGTTGCTTGGGATGATGTTTTGAGGTTGGTTATTGGGTTTGGCTGGCGGCTGTCGCTGAAGATGGTCTTGGTCTGCTAGCCGTGGATTGGCCTACTGAAGATGGACTGCTGAAGTTGGTCTGGTCTGGTGGCTGTCGCTAGGAGCGTGGTGTGGTGGCCGCAGGGAAGGTGATGAAGCTAGGGTTAAGATTAGGGTTAGGGTTAGGGTTAGAGATGGAGGCTAGGGTTTTGGCTCTGATACCAATTTGAAATATGTGAAAAATGATACCCAAATTAAGAGTAGAGCCCCGTATATATATTCAAATAATAGTATAAAATGACCTAAATATTCTTGTGGTCTAGACAAAATATAAAAGTTATAATATGGGTAAAAAAGGAAAAAGGAACTCTAATAAACTAAACTATAACTCCAACAATTATTCACACATTTATTCTACATACTAAACTTGCATATCTGCTTGAGATAACTGCATGCATTAGCTTCATTTTGGGAGATAAATCCCGTAATTTTTGTTTGGAAAAGGCAATGGTGGTTCTACTTTTCATCCTAACCAGTTTTATTATCTTATCTAAATTTCAGGATTGAGGAAAAACAAACGGTAATGAGTTCTTTCTTATCTTAAATCAGTAAAGGGTCTTTGAAAAAGAGTTTCTAATTTCCTTATTTCACTTACATGTATTTCTTTTCGTTTTGCAGCCGCAGTTAAGCTCCACTGATATACCAGAATTTTTGAAGGTTGCCCACTCTTCTTATGAAGAGGATAAGGCCAAATTTGAGAAGAAAATTGTAAGTCCTTACTAATTATGATCATCTTTTATAATTGCTTCCTAATCGTGGCTTGAACATTTAATCATGTCATTGTACGATCATCTCTCATAATTGCTTCTTATCCGAGCTTCAACATTTATTCATTTCATTACAGGAGAATCTTTTGAAGGACAAGGCCGAATTTGAAATGAAAATCGTAAGTTCTTACTAATTACAATGATCTCTCCTAATTGCTTCACAACCGAGCTTTAACATTTAAACATGTCATTGCAGGAGTCACTTCGGCATTCTTATGAAAAGCAAAATGCCAAATTTGAGAAAATTGTAAGTTCTCACCAATTACAATATTCTCTCGTAATTGCCTCATAATCGAGGTTGTAACCTTTAATCCTGTCATTACAGGAGGCACATCAACAGGCAGACTTTGCTTCTTTTGACAAGGATAAGGCCAAACTTGAGGAGAAAATCGTAAGTCTTCAATAAGTACTATCATCTCTCAAAACTATTTCTTAATCGAGGCTTTAACATTTAATCGTGTCATTATAGGAGGCACTTGGTTTTGCTGTCGAATGCATTAAGCAGGAACTTGGGAAGTTCAACTGATTCTAGAAATGAGAACTTTTCAACAACTGAGCTATGTCAATTGGATTCTCTTTTTTCCTTGTATGAGGCTTGTTTGTTTTTTTTTTTCTTGTATTTCATGTTTTGCTAGGCATGTCATGTCGCATAACTTTATCAAAATGTATTTGTAAACTCGAATTGGTGGTTGAGAATTCTAAACATCAACATGCATCTATAAACTTGGCAAACAAGATTGAATTTACAAGTTTTGCATTGCTATTAGAAGGTACTTTTAGTAGGCATTTCGTTGGGAAATGTGCTCAATCTTTCTACCCCAGACATTATTGTTGGTAAGTGCTTGTGCGATGTGTATCTGAAATCTGGGTTGCGCTCTGTGTTCTTGTGAGTATTTGGGCTGCACTAAACTGAAGCTAGGGGTTTGTGTTTTGTGCAAGCCCAGGGTCACCTTGGACTAGTTCAGTGGGCCCCAGTGTAAATGTGATTTTAATGAATACATATATTGTATTTTGTTCAAGAGATTAGCAGGAGTTAGACCAAACGAGATTACCTCTGTAGGTGTTCTTTCAGCTTGTACCGATGATGGGATGATTGATAGGGATTGACTTTATTTTGAGATGATGAAAAAGGAATATAGAATCAAGCTGGTGATTGATCATTATTTGTGTCTGGTTGATATGTTCATTTCATCATTTGTGTTAGGCCGATTAGATGAAGCTTTTAATTTCATCCAGAAGATGAATTTTGAGCCCATTAAGTTTATTTGTGCAAACCTTCATTGCAGGTTGTCGGAGTCATGGGAATTCAGAGTTAGGATTGTATGCTGCTGAATGATTACTCGGTCTTAATCCAAAAGGCTATGAGACTTATCTATTGTTGTTAAACATGTACCACTTGGCAGGGAGATGGATGCCACGATTTTTCAAGGGCTAGAAAAAAATGATGAGGGGAAAAACTCGGAAAATTAAAGGATTGGAGCTGGATTAGCATTAGAGATGAGGTTTATTCATTTAAATCATGATGAACGGTTGCATCCACAATGCAAAAGGGTGGACAGATTATTGGGGAATTTGCTTGAGAAAACAAGGACTCTTGGATATGAACCACAAGGAAGTTTAGAGGCAATGGATGAGGAGAATGTAGAAATAATTTTATCCACTGTTCATCAGGCTCTTGGGTTGTTGAACACTCCAAATGCTGTCCCTATGCGGATTATTAAGAGTATTAACATGTGTAGAGATTGCAGAATATTATGAAATTCATCTCCATTTTAATTGCAAAGGAATCATAGTTTGAGATAGTAAGCACCTGCACAAATTTGTCAATGGCTAATGTTCATGCGGGGATTTTTGCTGTCTTCTTTGATATCATTTGAACCCAAGCCATGAGCTGGCTAATTCCTAATGTGGTAATACTTTCACCTTTTAAGTGGCCATGAAATTTTGTTGTATCTAATTTTTTGATGTTTAGAAAATTTGTTGCCATTACTATTTAGTCACGTTTATAAACTACAGATGTTTCAGCATTGGGGCTCTGGTGTAGGACAAATGAAAGAATTCATGCGGGTCTTGGTTGAATTGAGTTTCTTTAGAAAATTCAACAAAATGGATCAAATAGTCAAAGCTGAAATAAGAAGTAGGATTGAATATTTATATCGTTTTAAGGTTGATAAAAAATACATAAAGTAGAGTATAAATTTTTGCAGACAATGCAGTGATTTATTTTAGCTTTGGTAACTGCTCTAGACAACATTTATTTGTGCATTTTTTGGTTCGATAGCTTTATACTCAGTTGGATAATGTTTGTAGTGACTAAGATAGCGTTTCGGACAACTATGAGATCCAAAAAGTACTTCTTAAGAGAATAGAAGTGATTTAAGGTGGTGGCTTTACCTGGTTTCCAATAAATCTTCACAACTGTAAAAAAAAGTGCCAAAGTTGTAGTAGAAATTGCAGCAGGATATATATTTACTCATATGAGATGGTGCAGTGCAGTGGAGGGAGGGAGGTGCCTCCATTACCAAATGAAATGACAAACATACCCTTCTAAAAAGTAAGGATGGGAAGAAGAATGGTGTGGAATACAATGATATTTTTGTCCTTGGAGTTATAAATTAACAACAATAGTCTGAGACTTAAGTGAGATAGCTTCCTGTCTTCCACAATATTTTTAACATCAACCCTAGACTAGTATTACTGTTTTTATCTTCTTTCCCTAGCTAGCTTGTATCTCTCACTCCACACTCACAATCATTATTCTTGCATGGGAAAAAGAATGAGAGTCATTGTTCTCAATGAAGAAAGAGCCTATACAAATTTTGGTCTCAATTCTGTAGAAGATATTGTCGACTTTGTTGTCATGATATCCAACTTAAGGACTTTTATTGGATCCAAGAAGCACTCTATGGTAAACATTGAATGATATGTTGATTGTGTCTCTACTATATCTTTTAATAATAACTTTTAACTTGAAGTTGGTATTGTATGAGAAGAATATAAAATTGAGTGTATCGTATATAAACATAAATCATGTTTAATTAAATTAGTGTTATATACAATTAAATTTGTATCAATTCATTTATCAACAAAGTTTGACGGGTTAACTCGCTTATGACCCAAATACTATAACACTAACAAATATCTTATATCTTCACTTTAAATTTAACCAATCATGTTAAGAATTTTCACATCCAATCTGATTGTATGACAATATCTAAGCTTGGATCATGTTATTATCTAAATGTGGGCAAATCCTAAACTGGCAAAAAATGGAAAAAAAAAAATTTAATGGCCAATAATGGGTACATGAATCTTATATCATTGGGAAAAAGAAAAATAGAAAATGAGTAGGAGATTGTTATCTTTACAGTTTTTTTTTTGTTGTTTTGCATGTGTTTCCNTAATGGGTACATGAATCTTATATCATTGGGAAAAAGAAAAATAGAAAATGAGTAGGAGATTGTTATCTTTACAGTTTTTTTTTTGTTGTTTTGCATGTGTTTCCATGAAAGTTTAAAGCAAATGGGTTTATTCATTCACATAGAAAATTTAATTCTTAAAAATTAAAAGGGTTGACAGTTGGAAAAAATTTTCGGCGCCCAATTCTCATTTGCCACAATATTAGCTTGTGAGACATAAAATATATTTTTTTATTAAAAATTTGAATAAAATGATAAATGACAGTCATATATTCAGAATGTATAGTCTATAATAATAGGATAGAGTAATTTTTAAATTTCTAAAATTAACTTACCACAAAGGCGGTCTAAATTTAATCTATTTTAATTTTAACGATTTATATTTCTTCTAATTTAATCCAATAACTCATAAATTCATTCACTTTTAATCCAACGATTCATCCCAACAAGAAACAAATCATGGGTACACAATTAAGACCGTTATCAAACTGAGTTACTTGAGTTTGACTTGAGTTCGGTTTCGGATAGACTTGGTTTTTTTTTTAAACGAGTCTAAATTTAAACAAATTTTTAGACTCGTTTAAAAAATAAGTCTTACAAGTTCGATTCGTCTATGTGCAAATACTCGAGTTCGGCTCGAGCTCGACTTGAATTTGGTTCGCTTAAACTCGACTCGTTTTTCACACGAGTCGAATTTGAACAATTTTTAAAATTTAATTGAGAAATAAAATTTTCAAACTCGACTCAAAGTTCAACATGGACCCTAATAGCCCCGCCCACAATTCATCCCAAACCAAAAACAAATCCCGCCCAAAACTAAAACCACTTGCACGTCCCCTAATACACTGTCAGAGCCTCTCTTTCACTCTCCCTGTCCCCTGTCTTTCTGTCTCCACACTCCCTGCGACTTTTTTATCTCTCCACACCCAGCGACTTCCCTCTCTCTCTCCATACTCCCTGGAATATCTGCCTTGGCTCACCGGCGACGACCACACACCACAGGTTAGCTACCCTCTCTCCCTCTCTTTCTTCACACNTCTTACTCTCCCTGTCCCGTCTTTCTGTCTCCCTGCGACTTTTTTATCTCTCCACACCCAGCGACTTCCCTCTCTCTCTCCATACTCCCTGGAATATCTGCCTTGGCTCACCGGCGACGACCACACACCACAGGTTAGCTACCCTCTCTCCCTCTCTTTCTTCACACCAACCCACACACACAAACAAAAACAAACCCACAAAATAACACTCACAGATCACGCAGAAACTCACAACACACGCAGACAGATAACGCACACACACCCCACAGCAGCACGCACACACGCAAATTAAGTNCAACCCACACACACACACACAAACAAACCCACAAAATAACACTCACAGATCACGCAGAAACTCACAACACACGCAGACAGATAACGCACACACACACACACACACCCCACAGCAGCACGCACACACGCAAATTAAGTTGGGTTTTTGAATGTNCCACCCACACACACAAACAAACCCACAAAATAACACTCACAGATCACGCAGAAACTCACAACACACGCAGACAGATAACGCACACACACCCCACAGCAGCACGCACACACGCAAATTAAGTTGGGTTTTTGAATGTTAGGGTTTTCAAATTGGGTGTTGAATAGAGATTGTGAAATTTCAATTTGGTTTTTTTTTTAAAAAAATTATGAAATAGGTTTATAGTGTCTTGATTGGATGAATGTTAGAGCTATTTAGATTAAGATTGTGTATTAATTTATTTTCCTTCCATAATTTTAGAGATTGTGTGTCAATTAGAACGAAATAGGTTTATGAGGTCTTGATTTGATGAATGTTAGGGTTATTGAGATTAAGATTGTGTTTTAATTGATTTTACTTTCATAATTTCAAAGATTGTGTAGTAATCGATATGAGATATGTTTATAGGGTCTTGATTTGATGTATGTTATGGTTTTTTAGGGTAAGATTGTGTGTCAANTCTGTGTTAATTGATTTTACTTTCATAATTTCAAAGATTGTGTATTAATCGATATGAGATATGTTTATAGGGTCTTGATTTGATGTATGTTATGGTTTTTTAGGGTAAGATTGTGTGTCAATTGAAGGTTATGTGATAAGTTCATTCAATAAGATTTTTAGTGTTTTTGCATGTTAGGGTTTTNTGTGTTTTAATTGATTTTACTTTCATAATTTCAAAGATTGTGTAGTAATCGATATGAGATATGTTTATAGGGTCTTGATTTGATGTATGTTATGGTTTTTTAGGGTAAGATTGTGTGTCAATTGAAGGTTATGTGATAAGTTCATTCAATAAGATTTTTAGTGTTTTTGCATGTTAGGGTTTTTGTTAATTGCATTGGATGGATGTTGAATGTTCATTTTATGAAATTTGTAGGCTAATTTTAGTTGTTGAATTTTTTTGAAAGTAATTGAAAATTATTTAGTAAGAAATTGAATGTTAGGGTTTTTAAATTGGTTTTCCTT